GTAGCGGCTATATGCGTTGCTATGGCAGTAGACCGTGGCTATTTGGATTATGATCAGAAAGTGTCTCACTATTGGCCAGATTTTGCACAGAATGGAAAGGAGAACATAACATTGAAACAACTTGTTCACCATGAGGTAAGCTCAGTAAAACGATTTTCTAAATTGTTCTTAATGTAAAGATTAATCATGCAATTTTACATATAATCTCGGGCCTAGTCTACAGTGGACTTGACACTTAGACTGGACTCATGAACTGGACTTAAACAACTTGTTTTGATTGTTAAATGAAGGACAGTACTGTCCCGTGGATTGAGGTAATGACGTAATGCTTTCGCTAACTTCAGTGAAAATACACGACTGATATCAAGTTTCATTACAGTCAACACATGCGTTTGTGATTTTTGCGTTCAGTTTTGAAAAACAATACACACTCATTCCGGAAATTGTATTTATTCAATGATACGACCTACCTTAGTTCTTAAAACCAGCATGACTTGTGACATATTCAGGGAAGTGGGTAGTATTACTACCATCAGTACCATCTCCTATTTAAAGTTAGCAGTGAATATAATATAGGTCATTAAAATGAGAATTCTAAAATGTATGTAAATTCACATTAAAATCAGTGCATACAAGATGCAGTGTCCAGCAACAAAAATGTTAAACAATTATCCAGACTGCCTGAAGAAACTACTACAGCTCCAAGAAGTCAAGTCCACGAGTTCAAGCCACTAGTCGAAATTGGCAGCGTATGATCTAAAAATCAACAAATGTACAATTCATGAGTACTGTCCTTATTATAAAACACGTTTTTTTAAAGCGGGAGGGTCGTCACCTGCGCACGCGCGGTAATCGTCCTAAGCGGCGATAACAACACAAGCTAAAAACGGAAAGGCTCATGGGTAGACCCTTGTTTGTAAACAATGACATGCTATGGCCATCTGACGCATGCGTAGGTGACCACCCTCCCGCTTTAAGTTCAGTCCATAAGTGCAGTCAATTCAGTCCACCAATCCAGTTCGACTATGCCAGAATTTTGAGGATTTGCCAATACTCATACCAGACATAACTACATGCTTGGTCTTGCATTTAAATTAAAGGCGGGACTTGCAGTTCCATACGTACACCCGGATATTACAACAGTAAGAGACACTGACAAATTATTTAAACTATTAGCTAAGACAACACCTACATGGGAGCCCGGAACAGCACATGGCTACCACGCCATCACGTATGGCTGGTTTTTAAGTGGTGTATTGCGACATGCAGACCCAAAACATAGAACTATTGGACAGTTTTTCAAGGAAGAAGTGGCAGATGTATTTGGCAAGTATTTGGCAGACTCTTAGTTAAGATTCTAACAGACCTTGAAAGCAAATGGCTGCCAAGATCTCGTTGATAGCGAGAGAGCCACGAGACTTGTTTTCTGCAACTCAAAAAGTGTTCAATTCTCTCCCGTCAACGCTTTTATTTTTCTACTGATATATGTAACCATGGTAACAGTGGAAGCGATGACGAGTGAGAATGAAATACTATTTGAAGACAAGTGACGTGGCTTCCTTGATCTCAACCGCAGTCAGTTGGCGTGCAAGAGATGATAAAATGAATGCGATTAATCTACCGGAAATTACTGTTAAAATACTGAGAACTGTTATAGTTTCTGATTTTACATTGGTTTCTATGATGGAAATATTTCATCACATTTTGAACAAATTATAGTGTTCTCTGTTATGGTGCCAACGTAATATTCCGAGGGGAACTCGTGTTAACGATAATATCTAATACACAGTATCACGCATTTGACCGGGGCTTTGAAAAACAAACATTTTCTTCGACACATTTGGACATAGCAACGCAGCTAGTACGCTGTCAGTCCCCGGCAATGTCATTATTTTTTGTGTATAGGTATTGACTTTCACATCGGCTTACCCAGGGAGGAGTATTACAGAGTAGCCAGAATACAACGTCCACATAAGCTGTCCTATATGAAGCACGTGTTCAATGCAAAATACAGACGGATAATACAGGATCTCATCTTTAGACCCGACGGTCTAACCCATAAAGCGTTAAACTTTCCCGATCTGCTTGCGCCAGTAAGTATGTAGTTGTATATCCCTTCTTATAATTAACGTTGTAACCCACATTTGTTTGGTAGAACAGTACAGCCCTGATACAAAACCTTCTAAGATGATTGTTCTAAAACTTGAAATGCTTATTTGTAAAATCGTAGTTTTGTGTCTGACCATTGCGAAAAATCATGTCATTAAAGGCTGGATTATTACGTGTATGAGAGTTTAAATTTGAGGGCAGATTATTTCATGTGTTATTCTTTTCACGGAAATGGACACTATTAATTATTTACCGCAGACGCTTTGTTCCACAATTTTTCTTTCCCGCAATATTGTAGCCAGATCAGAATACTCCATGTTCACCCCTTGTACGCCAATAAAATTTAAGTATCAAATTTACTGCGTGAAAATCTTCCTGAATTTTGCAGTGATACCCTACCATATTACAATTATTATTTTACTACCATTACTAGTGTCTGTCGAATGCAAACACTTTTCTCGTTTCGCAGGATGAACGGCAAAACACGTACTCATTACAGTCATTAGAAATCCCATCAGCTACAGGTATTGGTACAGCCAGGGCATTGGCTAAATTATATGCTATATTGAATAACGGAGGTGAGTGGGAAGGAAAACGATTGCTATCCAGTGAACTGATCAAGAAATTCACCGAATGTAATGAGCACAGAGTAGATGAAGTGTTGCTGTATAAGAGGGTATATTGTCATGGTATGCTCGGTAAACAACCAGTAAGTATTTTGTTAGTGTATGTACAAAAGTATTTGACCTTTGAGCGCATCGGCATTCTTTGGCCTGTTAGCTACCGCTCGCGTGAAAAAAGGAAGAGTGATTGGCGTTGATGCACTTCAAAGTTATGTGCATACATTTTACTGTTGCCAGCTCCAGTTTTGCGTTGATTTGTCGTTGTACGAACCAGGTTACCTCAACCATGTCACGGATTGACAGTGACATATAGATAATGTGTTTTTCGTTTACACAAGCACAATGAAAACAAAATAATTTACACATCTTTCTATCCGTACGCACATTGGAATATATTTCTGTGGGACAATATACAATAGTAATACTATGTTAATGGATATCTATAATATTGATCAAACTTATGAAAAACTGAGACAAACTGTACTACCAACTTGAAGAACTGATTATAAATTCGATCCTCTTACTGCGACGAGCGCAATAACCAGTCGATTGTTCCAAGTTGGGGACTGGTTCCGTCAACCGCTATTGACAACTCTCTATATCGGAAAATGTATCGTAATATCTACAGTTCTTAGTTTAAAGATACCAACAGAGTCAGGTAATCAACACTACATTTGTGGGATTACCCCATTGTAAAATTAGCGTTAAGCAACTATAATAGGTATCCGACTAATTGATTTAATTCTGGTACACGTGTTACTTTACATCAACACACAATAATTATGTTTTTGTTATCTTTTTCAGTACAAATCTCACCGCGTATTCGGTCACACGGGTTATGGAGGTCAAGGCGCATTTTTTGATCCATATACAAACACTACACTTGCATTTATCGCGTCGAAGCTGTCAATATATAGTATGGGCGATGATGAACGATATTTAGCGCTTGTGAAATCCACATATGATAGCATCACTAATTTGGAAAATTAAAAATAAACTCATTATTAAAAGAGAAATATTAGTGTTTATATAGTGAATGAGTGATAGCTACAAACTTGAACAATTAAAATGAATAACAGAGAAAGAACAGATAACTGCAATGACGAAATGGACAATAACTGCAATGATATTATTAAACCATGTGGCCAATCATGGTTATATCGCGTCGGGCATACCAAAAATGCATTACACTATAACTTAAGGTAAAGTGAATGAAATACAAAGTCATGGATATTGTCTCAGGAACCACGAACATTCAACACATACTAACTTAATATAAAAAACATAGTGGGTCAGTAAGCTTAACACCATCACATTAGATGAAACGCGTACCTTATACTGGAACCACTCAGTTTTTCCAAATGCACCATTCACCATCGTTATACATTTCACACTCCACATATGCTTAGCTATTGTATTGATTTCCTAGTTCTGGCAACTTCTTCAGGCATTGTGTGTATCACCTATTTAGTCTATCCTCCAATAGATAGCAACTATCAGTTTTATTGTTTCACGAATCATGGTACTGATCTTAAATACAGACTAACCATGCCCTCTAGTGTCAGAGCACTTCAGTGACGTCAACAAGACGTACATGGGCGAAGATTTTATCTTTCAATCGACCTTTGTTTGGTTGTGTACTATTTCGTCATATTAAATATAATAAAATTCCTCAAAAACACAAAGGCGTTATGTATGAGGCGCATTACATTGCTCATATTACACGAATCTATTGTGATATATTATGCATATATCATGAATTGATACACCATGCAAATTAGAGGTTCGTGACATATACAAGTAAATACAATGCATAACACATGTAGTGTTTAATGCATATGAATTATTGTTATTTGTAACCACCCGATTGACAGCTACTGGCGCCTAAATTTGGTATATGTTTAAACTACAATGAGCATCCGATTCAAATTATGGAGAATAGCTTTTAAAATAATTAATGCTCTTTAATCTTTGGTCATTACATTAACCATTTTTCGTTTGCTGCGAGATCCCGTTTTATGCATGAAATCGACGTAAACACATGTCATAGTGACGCCAACAGCCGTTCAGATTGTTTAGCTTTTGGTTTCTATGGTTTCTAAGAAGATACACTCAGAGTAGTTCACTATATATGCATAATTCGGATGAAATTAAAGCTTACCATCATAATATCATGGTGTTTTAATTTAGTACCATAAAACAATATTAATCACAGCTGACTAAAATTATTTAGGTACACCATATAAGATTTATTAAATTACGACTATTATTACTACATTAAGGTTAATCAAATAAAAACAAATATTTCATTTCACAGATTAAACCAATAAACTTGCACAATGCAATAACGCATGTAAGCATTTATATGTCCATTACAAGGTTATTTAACAATAAATACAAAATAATGAAGTCTCAGTTGATAAACAACAATATTAAAAACGTGCTTCAATATAAAGTTTAAAATACATCAGAGATAGCAATGCAAGAGCCCACACATGTGAACAAAATTCTAAAAATGAATTATATATAGTTAATTTTCTACAAGATATTTTAAAATATAGGACATACCATATAAGAAGGTTTAACTTTACGACATAATAAAAAAGCCAGAAAGTGGACACATGCATGGCCCACATTTTTCAGACAAGAATACATACAACTGTCACTGATGACACCTTAATGCCATGGACACTTTTTGGCTGTAAAATGTCGAGTTAAACTTATAAAAGCGAATTAATAGTTACCATCACCATCTGTAAATATTTGTAATGTCGATCTACTTCATTTATGTATGCTCTGTATTACCTTGAGATGTGTCAACATCTGGTTGACCCAGACTGATAAGTACATCAAAGGTAAAAGGTATACAACTATTTTATAAACTGAGAATGAGATTAAAAATAATAATAAGCTAGTTAAAAAATATTTGAAATACATATATATGTGTGTAAACAAAATGTTTCCTTGAATAAAAGTTCAGAGCATGTAATATTAGTTTAGCTTCATATGACAATGTTGTATAGCAGTCGAGCCACTCATGTGTGCATTGCAACATTAGATATGATGTACATCAAAGATTTGTAATTTAAGGGAAAGCAACTGGTGTGATATGCGAAGGAGGAAGTTATGCAAATCAAGAGATGACAACTAGATAAGCTATTATAGAAACACTAATACCATAGCTCATGTTTTGGAAGACAATCTTTTCTTAGTTACCAACAAACTTCACCAATGCATCGCATAGATAAATGCTTGCACACACTTTGCTTTCTCTTGTTTGTAAATCCTTGCACAGAATAATGTTTGTAATATTTCATGAACAAAGGTCAGATGATACTGAAATGCAAGTGGCAAACCAACTTAAAAATAGATAGTACTCAAAATAATGTAAAAATAGAACAATTGACAAATCGAGTAGTTAGAATGAAGGAACATATGCCGAATTTATGACTTATTTAATTTGAATTTGCTGACAACCGTCCTTTCTTAAAACCGAATGATGCTAGATTTTTTGAAATTAGGCATGCGCCATATTTTTGAATTAATAATCTTTGAATGCACAATAAGTAAAAATGCCAGTTTAAGGAGCATTGATTATCCATTAAATGCTAATCTTTGTGATCTTTCTTTTTCTTTGGGTCTTCAAAGTACATGAAATCCTGTAATGAAAAGTTGCACTTCATAAGGAATCCATATTTAGCCATTAAAGCAACTCGTTGAATATAGTGAATAAAAGGTGCAAGCTCAGTTAGAATAACTGTATATTTAAGCTAGATAAAAGCAATATAGCGTATAAGAGAAGTAATGTGCAGTGAAGACACAATAGTTGAAACAATGTAAACTATGCTTAAAATTGTAGGAATGAGAAACATTTCACCTTTGCGTTATAATATTCATATAAAACAGGGTCATGAAAATAAATGGGTCCGGGTATTCATACAGTTTTTGTTTTGTTATCGGATAATGATGCAAGTAGTGTTAAATACTTGCACACTGTTGGAAGACAATATTACATGCTATCAAAAATACCAGACTATAAAAAAAAAACTAATATGAAACAAAAACTCTATGAGCTATTTAATTTTGAAATTCCCCAAATGTTAATAAAACTAAGTTGGGAGAACGACTCATTTGTACAGCCATCGACCCAGTGAATATACATATGCTAAACTGGTCATATTTCTGACATCCTTGCAAAGTGTGCAGAGATTATGAAGAGATTGCATTTTGGCACTTTTATCACAAACTTTAGTTTTGAGTATGTTGATGCCAGGACTGCCTAAATTGACAAAATGCAAGAACAATTATTTATAGGGCTCTGAGTGACCACAGGCCTACATCTATACCCCAAGTTGGTGATCAAGATTAAATTTAACAATACAATGTCACAAAATCAGTATTTATACATGTTTCAATGCCCGAAAAAAAAGTGAGGTTGAATATTTTACATACTCTACGTAACAATACGGATTAATAAATATATATAATTACTAAATACTACAGTGAACCCGCACTCTTGTAAAGACAAATTCAGAGACGCCAACATCAGTCTCTAAGTCGAAATGATATATTAAAATAGAATGACATTGATATATTTAAAAGAAAATTAAAATAGAATGACATTGATATTAGGCTTGTCACTTATACTAATATCATAATCTCCCCAACTTGGAATCCTAGCTAATAAACATCACATCCACAATTATCAAGGACGATATATATGCTACAACAAATATAATCTATATTAATGATGCTCTCATGCTGTTGATCCACAATCGTGTACAGCTTTTCTTTAAAACACTCTCATGTTCAGGTATAAAAAACGATTTGCAAATAAATCAAGTTTTAGGTGTCCCAGTAATTACACAGCTAGAAATGGTTTACTTATTATAACAGGTTAATTCACATTCATTTGCCAACATCAATGGTAAAAAGATCTAATTTAATTATCTTGATGTTGGTAATTGAACAGTGGTTCCCACATAAACAGTGATGGGTGTTAATGAAAATTCTAATCAAATTAATATGTTAATTTCTATGGAGTTTTCTGTTATTGATGATTGTTTTTTGGCTGCTCAAAGTACATAAAGTCCTGGAAAAATAAAAAAAATCTACAGTTACAAAGTGCAGAGCATCAACATGCTTTTTTTCTACTAAATTAGCTTTCAATGAAGGAATTCATATACAGTACTCATTTCGCCGAACCTCCCGCCCGCTTCCGGATTTCGATCGCTTTTTTTCCGCTCGCTTTGTTCAATTCGACCGCGCAATTTCCGTTTTTTTTTTCGACCGCGCAAATCCGGAAGTATCCGCTCGCTCGCCTGACAGCGAAACCGCCCGCATTTACAGTTCATTACCTACTGTTTCATGTACAAGTGTATCATTTTTGTTTTTATGATGTTAAAATAAGAATAAATACAATCAGAAATTTATAGAACGACCGTTGAAAAAAATACGGTGGATCACACGGCCATATAAAATTGGTAATAATACATACGCGTGATAATAATGTCCACCATAAACAAGATCGAACCAAACATGTGAAATCAAATACGACACTGACACAGACACAACTAATATGAAATAAAACCATTATATTTTTGGTGGAGAGCGAAAAATGTCTACTGTAGAGTACGGTATTCGTTGAGTAACCGTGTGTAGGGTAACGGTTGTCATGCACGCATGGTTTGGGTTTAACACGGGTCAAGTTGTAG